GGATTTGTGAAGAATCGTGTTGGAATTCAGAGCGGGAAGTGCTCCTCCAAGAAATCTTTGAGTTGAATTTGCGAATTCAAGCCCTAGAATGCCAGAATTCTCTACAAGGAGCTGCAATGTCGGAGACAGTTTCCAACATCGTGTCACTCCTACAAGCACTGAAGGATGTTGAACTGAACTTGCTAAAGCAAAATCGAATTGCTGAGAGTGGTTCAGGGTTGACACCTCTAGACACCCCATTTTTGCGCTCTTCAGTCTTTCGGCAGCACTTTGAGCTTCAAGCATGCTTCAACTAATCCCGCGGTCGACTTAGGGGTATTTTTGGAATTTTACAAAAGTTAGGGCCTCAAGGATCCAAAACCATAGGTACGTAGAGCACAAAAAACCAAACCCAATGACACAAATATCATCCAAATCTGATACCGTTTACCCTTTCATCTTTAGACCCAAAGTCGAATCTGATTTCGATTGTCTGATCGGAATCATTTTGACCCAAAACCATATTTCACACCAAATTAGAAATCCAAAAGTATAGGCACGTAGAGCCCAAAAAATCAAACCCAATGACACCAATATCATCCAAATCCGACACTTACCCCTTCATCTTTAGACCCAAAGTCGGAACTGATTCCGATTGTCCGATTGGAGTCATTTTGACCCAAAACCATATTTCACACCAAATCAGAAATCCAAAACTATAGGTGCATAGAGCCTGAAAATCCAAATCTAACGACACCAAGATCACCCAAATCCAAAACCGTTTACCCCTTCATCTTTAGACCCAAAGCCGGAATTGATTCTGATCGTTTGATCAGAGTCATTTTTACCTTAAACCACATTTCACACCAAATCATAAATCCAAAACTATAGGTACGTAGAGCCTGAAAATCCAAATCCAATGACACCAAGATCATCCAAATCCAACACCGTTTACCCCTTCATCCTGAGACCTGAAGCCAAAACCGATTCTGATCGTCCGATCGGAGTCATTTTAAGCCTAATCCTCATTTCACATCAAATCCAAAATTCAAGACCATAGGTTCATAGAGCCCAAAAGTCCGAATCCAACGACACCAAGATCACCCGAATCCGACACCACTTACCTTTTCATCTCAAGACCTGAAACTGGAACCGATTCCGATCGTCTGATCGGGATCATCTCTGATCCTAAATCCTGAATCCCGTAAAATCTGAAATCCAACCTTATAAATGGATAGAACTCGAAATACCGAGTCCAATGGTACCAAGATCGTCCAATTCCGACACCTTTAGCCCCTTCATTTTGATACCCGAAGCTATACTCGATTTAGGCCCTCCGTTTAGAATCCTCTTCACAATAACTTCGAACCTAGGGTATTCCACGACCCAAAACTCCCCTCAGCCTTTGTAAACATATTAAAAATCTAAGATTTGACTAGCTATAGCCTCCAATCAATCAAGCCAATCACCTAAACTTGGAATGTCCAAGTTAGGTAAATTGGTGAAATCTTTATCTCTTTGTCTTGATTGATTGAGAGAATATCTAACAAAGCTGTCTTGACAGCCCATTCTGTCAATCAATCTCCCTCCAAAAACTATTTAAACATCATCCATTGATCTCCCTTATCACCCATCTCAGCCTTCCATTCCCCTCTCAAAAAATCTATAAATATCACCCATTTCTCACATCCTAGACACACAATCTAACCTAGACACAAGCTAGCTTAGGGAGAGAGCTCAGCTCCCACAGCCATTACCCATGTCCCAAAACCTCTCCACTCACTCTTCAGTGTCCCTAGAGTCCCCCATATCAAGCCAAACAACACCCTTGGGTCATGCCTTAATTCAAAAGAAGAAGTATAAAGCCTTCTTGAAACAATATCATCAATATAGCAGAAATGTACAAACATTCAGCAGTCGTTCCACACCATTTGGCTATATCACCAACGTCCTTGGTCACCAAAATGGACCAAAGTTCATTCTAAAACTTGGGGATCACTCAATCCAAAGAAATGCAGCAAGAGTTGCAATGGAGTTCAATGGTTTTGGTTGCATGTTTGAGAAATGTTGAATGTTACGTTTCGAGTAGTAAGGCAACCTTCGCAAGTATTTCGAAGGTCCGTTTTCTTTATTTGAATGGATATCCTTTGCAGATCTCAGGGTATATTGGTTATAAAATTGTTTTTTTAACTAATAGTTAATGAACGTTCTTTCAAGTTTTTTTTTTTTTAATTATTTAAATCGCAACATGGTTATTCTTCCATTTTCTTGATGATTTCTGGTTTATTTTCTTTTCTTTTTTTCTTTCTCTAAATAGTATAATAGAGATTAAACTTGGTTATAGAATTGTCTCTTTTTCTTTCTCCAATCTATTTTCTTGTTTTATGTCTCTTTTTATTTTTTTGTTTCGGTTGATTGATGTCAGTCAATTATCTGTCGTTTAGCCCCCTTGCACTTATTACTTATGTTTATCATAATAAGATGTTAGTTTTTTTTTTTTTCCTTTTTTTAGGAATTTGTCCCACCATTAGAAGTTTGCATTAGAATCATTTTACATCCCATGATAAGTCTTCTCATTCACATTCATCAAACGTTCAGGTGTGCGAGCTGCACAACTTTTTTTTTCTAGTGTTCAACCCCCTAGAACACTGAATCCAGTCCTTGTTTCGCACAGAAGAATGAAAATGTTTGTGAATGAAGACTAGACCTTCACCTGATTAGATGGCGAATTTATGAGAGCTTTCTGGGGTGTTGAACAAATGTAGTGTTTTTGGTGGGGGCTCATGAGGCCGGATTGACGAACATGGTGTTCTTGTTGCAAGGAGCTGTGGTGGTGGGATGGGGTCTGGAATGGGCTTCTGAAGGTGGCCGATGGGATGTTTGGGTTAGGGCTCAGAGGAGATGAGGAGATGAGGACAAGAGATGGTGAGGGGAGAGTTCGATTGATCTTAAACTTTCAAAAGAACCTTATTTTTTGAGTTTTGTTTTTTTGTGGGCGTTTGAACCGAGTTTGTTGAGCTAACGATTGAACACCCGTTAAAAGTTGGTGGCCGCCTGTGATTGGTGGGTTCATGCATCCAATGCACCCATGGGTGCTCAGATCGCGGACTCGAATACTCGTAGGAAATATGGAAGGGGAGATGTAAGGTTAAGGGTGCAAGTTGGGCAGGTTGGGTTAGGTTTATGGCCAATTTGGGCCCAAACCTAAAATTTGGGCTTAAGGCCTGAGCCTAATGTCAAGCCCGATTTTCTTAACCAGAGCCCGACCCGCATTATAATATGGTGCACTTGGATTGGGTTAAGGCTCGGGCTAGACTTGGATTGGTCAATGAACCCATTCTTAAATTATATATATACATATATATGTATGTATGTATATATAGTTGGGTCAGATTCGGACCAAACTCGGACTACTTAAGGAGTAGGACTAGGCCCAGGCCCAATCCAAAAATTAAAAAGCTGACCTTTTGGGCCTGAACCCAGCTCGAAAATAAAAAATCTAAGATCAGCCTGTGTAAAATTTCGGGCTGGGCCCGACCAAGTTGCACCCTATGTAAGGTCGCCTTAAATCGATCACAACAGTTCAGTCTCTGCCATTCTTCATAAAGCGGAGGCATTAATTGCTGACTTGCAGTCGCAAATTCAACTTCACCGCGGAGTAGATTGAAAATTGTACACAAATCCCGGTGTTTGGAAAGTCAGTTTTGAGAGAGCAACTTCCTCCTCCAAATCAACCATAGGAGTGGTGGTTCGGGAATGTACAGGAGCGCTCTTTTATGCTCGTACTGTTGTTGCTTCTGACAGTTTAACCTGTTTCAGACTTGGGCCCATTGAAATTTTGACAAAATCTGAACCCTAACCCATTAAAGTTTTGTGCTAAGCTTCAGTTACATTCTATTTATTTTGAAGAGTATGCACAGGATGTTATTCCTACTCCTTCAAGGCAGATTTACCTTATCTTGTCCGAATCTCTCCAAAGCTTCATTTTGTTCCCAATTTGGGCTATCTGTGTTGAGGCCTCAGACTTGGGCTTCTTGCCCGTCATTTCTGGCTTCCCATTCTCATTAAAGAAATTGTTTAATCAGACTTGGAAAAAATATTCAAGATAATCGGGTTTGAATTTGACATTAATATTGAATTTGGAATTCATTTGCAGCCCTAGAGGCTGTTAGTTCTTGGGTGAATGACGGTTTAACTCAGCATATATTTAAGGTAGGTGTCAGCTCGGAATTGATATCAATTCACAGACAGGCATTGATGCATAGGATGGGGTAAATGACATTTTAAATTATTGTTAATCTGCAGTGAAAATCAGAATTTTGCCGTGGGCCTGTCTGGCTGCCCATACTTTTCCGTTAGTTCTTTTCAATATAAAACAAAAATTAAAGTAATATAACTGAAAGCTTGAAATCAAACTATTGATTTGTAATCCATCATTACGTCAATATATAGACAAGTTTGAATGGATTTAATTTGGTTTTCTATTTAGAGGCCTTCCCCAAGGTGGTACCCACGTGACTGATGCTTGTGACGAAGAATGCAACATAAAAATTTATTCTTTCCCTTTTCAACTTTTGTTCCAACCCTTGAACCAAAGAATCGCCCCAATTTCTCACCATAGTTTTAAGTCAGGTTTGGACATGAATTTAGACTAATGGGTTTGGGTTTGATCATCCGACTTTTTTATTGATTGAACCCAAAACATGAAATTCAGACTTTTTACCGATTCTTTCAGGGCTGCCTATTGAAATAAAAATAGGCTGAAAATAAAAGGAATAAGTTCTGGATGATGTGCTCCATCATTCTATCTTTTCATTATCGAACTGTTTAACAAAAAATATATCATAGACTTGACTTCTCATTCTTTTACTTTTTTACTGTGTGATAGAGGATCTCTCAAGTCTTTGTAGATCTTGACTTTTCGTTCTCGCTGGATGGTGACACAGGAAATAAAGAAGAACCTTCACATGAGTCCTTCAAAGACTTGGCTAATTTTGTTTTTGATAAACCCACAACATTCCAATGGAAAGAAAAACAGAAGAGATGCCCCTGTTTGTGTTTACGGTGGCAGAGTTCAACAAATAATCTTATCTTTCGTTGAGAATTGGTGTTGTGTAGTGTCCTTATTAAAAATAGAATGTGCCCAAAACATCTCTTCACCACTTTCGTGTTTCACGGGATCACTAGGGTATATGATTCCTCCACAAAGATTAGATATAAATTCCTTTCAAATAATTAGCTTCCAATTCTGACTGGTTGTTTGATTCTTTTTGGTTCTGGCCTTCTTACCCTATGCAGGCAGCTTACAAGCAGAGCTCAGATTCTTGGTGCGGAGAAGCTCCTCTTTAAGCTTTGGGGACAGAGCAGGCTACCTAAATTATGAGATCTTCTGAGACAGACCAGTAGCTCAAAAGGGAAAATTTTCTTTCTCCATCTCCTGTACTGGCGAAGAAGACTCTGTGGACTGGAGAATCCAGCCAAGGTAATATGGAAATCCAAGTCTCTGTTTTGTGTTTTGCTTGCAATCTGTGAAACTATGTTTAGTCCCTGAAACAAGTGATGGAAACCTAGTTTAATCAGTAGTGTTTCCTCTGGTAACCATCTGTTTTGATGAACAGAGTCTGATTGCTACACTGTGAGAACGCTTTTCCACAAAGAAACATGTCTCTGCTTGTTAATACAGTCTTCCTTATCCTTGTGGGGCAACTTAATATGCTACAAGCTTTGCTCCCTATTACATCAAATGACATGGCCACTGAAGAAACCCCTTCTTTTCTCTGCAAACTGAAGTTTCTTCAAATCCTTGATTTGTCTGATAACCAGCTGAGTGGCCCTATACCCAGATGTTTGGGCAACTTCAGTAATTCCCTTTCAGTGCTGAAATTACGAGGGAACAACTTCCATGGAACCATCCCTTTTGAGTTTCCAAAAGGAAATAGTTTGAGAACATTTGACCTCAATGGCAATAAACTTACAGGGCAATTGCCAAAGTCTCTGGTTAATTGCTTAAAGCTAGAGGTTCTGGATTTTGGAAACAACCAGATAGAGGATACATTCCCCCATTGGTTGGGGTCTCTTCCTGAATTGCAGGTTCTCGTTCTGCGGGCAAATAAATTCCATGGCTCCATCGGCCGTCCTGAGATTGATGCTTCCTTCGCCAAGTTTAGTATCATCGACCTCTCCTTCAACAATTTCACATCAAAGTTGCCTGCAGAATACTTTTCATCTTGGAAAGCCATGGCCATCGGAAATAAGAACAAATCTGAGGCTAAGTACGTGGGAGATGGCTACTATCAAGACTCAGTGACAGTGATGAACAAAGGACTAGAAATGAAATTAGTTAGAATCTTCACTGTTTTCAAAGCCATTGATTTCTCACACAACAGATTCGAAGGAGAAATACCAGAGATTCTTGGGAATCTTGGGTCACTCATTGTTCTCAACTTGTCTTCCAATAGTCTCACAGGTTCAATTCCACCATCATTTGGAAAGCTCACATCTCTCGAGTCACTGGACCTCTCTGGCAACAAGCTTGCTGGCAGAATTCCTCCAGAGCTCAGGAGTCTGACATTTCTTGCAGTCTTGAACCTCTCAAACAACCTTCTTGAGGGGCTTATACCACAAGGCCTTCAGTTTGATACATTTACAAACAACTCTTATGAGGGGAACTTGGGATTATGTGGATTTCCATTGTCAAAGCGATGCGAGGATGATGTAGTGGTAGATCATTCACCACCAATGGAGACAGAGGACTCTGGTTCTGAATTTGACTGGACAGCCATGTCCATTGGATTTGGATGTGGATTGGCAATTGGGGTTGTTACAGGAATTATAATTTTGTGGAATGAACTTGAATACTTAGTTAGGACCATAAGAATTAAATATCYGATTTCAAGAAAGCAAAGCATCAACTAGGATTAGCTTCGTTTACTTTGTCATTTTATTGTGCTTGACAGAAGCTGTAGCTGGTTGGAAAGTTGAGAATGTAAGGAAAAAAATAAAATCAGTTTGATGGGTGGTCTTTCAAAACTCTGTACAACCGAACTTTGTTTGCATCAGAAATCTGTAATTGACAAAACTAGAACCATACAGTTGCGATTGGCAATTGGGGTTGTTACAGGAATTATAATTTTGTGGAATGAACTTGAATACTTAGTTAGGACCATAAGAATTAAATATCCGATTTCAAGAAAGCAAAGCATCAACTAGGATTAGCTTCGTTTACTTTGTCATTTTATTGTGCTTGACAGAAGCTGTAGCTGGTTGGAAAGTTGAGAATGTAAGGAAAAAAATAAAATCAGTTTGATGGGTGGTCTTTCAAAACTCTGTACAACCGAACTTTGTTTGCATCAGAAATCTGTAATTGACAAAACTAGAACCATACAGTTGCGGACATGCAGTAGCCATATTCAACATCCTGGTTCATCTTTTGGCCTCTTAACAGTGATCAAGAAAAATCCAGCTTTATCACTTAATTGATGAGAATGCAAAGTTCAGGGCTGCTCACGGTTCGGTTAATTGATGATAACCTTGGGCCTAAATTTCAATCCGAACTGGTAGTACCAGTTTTTGAAAAAATGGTAACCGGAGCAAACCGAAGCAAATCAGTACTCCCCTCCTTGTGAGGCTCGATAACCAAGGCAGGTGAACCCTAAGACTCAGCTTAGAAGGAGTGCAAATGCAAATATGTACAGTATAAATACATACAAAATTATAGAAAATGTAAGGTTTTGCACTCTGCAATTTTTTATTTGTACTTCTTCAAAACTGAGCCTAAAGAGTTCACTGCCCTGCAAAGAAAACTTTGTTGGGAATGAAGAGTTAGTTGTAAACAAAGGGATAATCTTTTAGGTTGGATTATATTGGAATATAGGAAAAGTTGTTGTCTATACGGATAACTGGGTAAAAATCATTACCCTAAAAGGAATACATGCTGAGTAGGGACATTGTAATGCAATACACTGGGTGAAGAGGACTGTTAAATCATTTGCAAATGGGTTAGCCAAGCAAGAGGTGAACAGGGAATCTATGTTTTGGGCTAATTTTTAACTTTCTTTCAACATATTCTAGTGGTGGGGACTTAAGACTTTTTACCTCCCCACTTTGTAATTAAAGTTTCACATCATTAATAAAGCTTTTTTATTACTGATAAAAAAAATACATGCCAAATGACAATCTAAGGCTATGTTTGGTTTGAAGGAAAAAGTAGGGAAATGTAAGGAAACTTATACAAGGTTTGTAAAGGTTTCCTTTCCTTTCCCTACTTTTTCCTTCAAACTAAACACAGCCTTAGAGATGCAATTTCCCCCATCCCTGCCAGGTACCCAACCTCCCTGACGCCATTGAATCGGGGATGGGGATTACCTTGGTAAGGTGTGGACGGGGATGGGGATTTATAGGGATCTTAGACTTGGAACAGGGTTGGGGATGGGGAATGAAATCCCTGCCCTGATCCATGGAGAAGCCGTCTTCATCGAGAATTGAGGATGGAAGATAACTTTTATCCCTAGGGGGAATCAGGGTTGGGATGGAAATTTATTTCAAAGTACCAGTTGGGGACAGAGAATATGATTCTCGCCCCCAAAGGTGTCCCATTGCCATTCCTAAATCTAACAAATCATGAAAATACAAAAGTGGAAACAATGACTGGAAATTAAAAAGAAAAGTCTTAATTATTTTTAAAAAATGTTGTCAAAAACATACAAGCAATCGTAATTCATAGAAGACACAGGATACTATAGTGTGGGGAGTCGGTACGAGTGGGTGTTTCACTGTGAAATTTAATGACCCTCAATAAGGAGGAGGAATTTAATGACCAAATCAAAAGTCTAAGCAAGAAAATGAACAAAATATGTGTCCTTGAAAAAGAAGATTTTTTTTTTCTATGGAACACCCTCGTATATAAATTATCAACTAAACAAAGATTATAAGGAGAATGACCAATACCCCCGGTGTCAGGATTTGTAGGTTCAATATACAGTCGGGGTAGGTGCCAGTTCGGAATTGATGCCAATTCACAGGTGGGAGTGAGTGTATAGAGTGTGGGTATTGGTCCCTTTGAATGTTTATAGCCCTGCAGTGTAAATCAGAAATCTGCATTGGGCAAATCCATACTTTTCCGAAGATTATATCAAAGAGGTTGACCCCGATTGTCCATTTTGCAGTCAACCGGCCGGAAGATGTAAACCACATTCTTGTAAATTGCCAACTGACAATCCAAATATGGTAAATAGTAGTAGATGGGCTTCAAGTTGCTTTGTTAGGAGACTCAATCCTGAACTGGTGGAGTAGGATAAGATGGTTACAATTGAATAAAAGTTTTAATTTTGTGTGGGAAATATTGGCCTTTCTCATTGGTATTTATGAAAAAAATAGAAATGATAAAATTTTCAATAATAAAAATTGGAATCCCTCCCAACTAGGAACCACCAAATCCCAATTAAAAAGGCTGGTGGAGATTGTGTGTTTGGTTTTAAATTGGGGATTATGAGTTCAAATCAGCCCCCCATAATGTCTCATAGCACATCTCTGCCTTGTATTGAGAACATTTCCCAATGATAACATCATCATTTTTTATATTATCATTAGGAAATATTACCAATACACGGCAGGGACGTGCTGTGGAATGTTGTAGTAGGGGGCAATTTTGTGGGGGGCTGATTTGATCTCGGGGACTATAAAGGAACGATAATCAAAGTGTTTAGCGGGATAGATAGGTGCATCCTCAATCACAACTGCTGAAATGAGAGATGGATAGGAAGCCCACAAATTAGCAAAAGCAGTGGGAGCATGTAAGGTCTTAATAGAAGGATCGAGATTCAAGATCAACCAGGAGCACTTCAAGGATGATGTACAACCTTGTGGAGATGCCAAACCAATGCAGGAAGATTGTCAAGGAGAGGAACGGTTAGGGATGGTCTAGAAGCATTCTCACAGTCAGGTAGGGGGTTGGCTGGCAAACCAAGGGCACAATAGAAGAAATTAATGAGGCTACTTTTTCTTTAGATGTTTTTTAAATTATTTAGTTTTTTTCTTTTTTTCGTGTGTAGGGGCGTCAATGGACCAGTTTTGGGTTGGATTTCGTCCAAATCAAAATCCATTTGGATGGATTGAATGGACCAATAAGATATTAAATTTGGACGGATTGGACGGGCTAATATAACATATTGGATTGGACCTGGTCCGTCTATAATGAATTTATATTGGATTGAGCCGATATTTTGTCCATTGATAGAAGATAAGAACATAGGTGTCAATGGACTAGCTGGTTTTAGTTGAAACCAATCTAGATCAACAGGAATTTAAACAGATTGGACAGTCTCTTGACCGGTCTAAAATGGTTCAAAATATTTACTGGACTGGATTGGATCAGGTTTATTTGTAATGGACTCACATTGGACTGGACCAAATTGGATTAGGTCCATTTGTAATGGACTCACATTGGACTGGACCGGATTGAACCAAATCCAGTCCAATTGACACCCCTACTCGTGTGGTTTAGTGTACTTCCCTTGTATAAAAAAGAATAAAAAAAAGAAAAAAAAAATTGGGATGATGGTCCAGACGTGAGGGCAAGGCAAGTTAGGATAGTAGAGAATAGTCTCAATTTCCACCGCACCATCAAAAGTCCTTTGTAGACTTGACTTTTCGATCTAACTTGGATAGTGGTAAAAAGAAGAACCTTCATATAATCCTCTCCTCCAAAGATTTGGGCACAGGGCAGTTTAGGGCTGCAAACGGACTGGATCGGATCCGTAAAGGTATATCCAATAAGATCTGTTAAGAAAATCCAGCTGATTCGAATTTGATAAAAATCCGTCAGATTTTCAAGAGCATGATTTGAATTTGGATTCAAATGTACATATATAATATATATAATATTTTCATAATTAACGAATCGGATGGATCTATATTTGAATTCGATGCATTATGTTAATTGATTAGCTTTTTCGATGTAATCCAATTTGTTAAGATCAAGAGGGATATCTGAATCTGCCTCTTATTGGATCAGGTTTAAACTTGAGTTGGATCATCACTTGCTTGCAGTCTTAGGGCAGATCCTACATACAACACACCATGGTTTTCAAAATCAGACCAGACTGGAAAAACCAAGAACTGGTCACTTGATTGGTTCCGTTTTTTCTCAAAACCATTGATTTTGGTCAGCAAACTACTGAATTGGCCAGTTAACCGTTCAAACCGTTTGAACAGTTTTGACTGTTTTTTAAATTTTTTTTATTTTTTTTCAAAATGGGCCGACCATTCGAGTCGAACGGTTGGACCGTTCAAACCAGTAACCGGACCCCTGACCAGTTCGGTTTTAAGAACCATGCAGACGCAACACGCACAAGACAATAACACACATAATACATAGGAAAAGACACACAAAGCCCGTTTTTTCTTCGCACAAAAAGACACACCTTTAACCAAACAGTCTTTAGGATATCAAGACCTTAATGCAAAAACTCACTATGTCTTTTGACTGTCAGAACTTCAAGAAAATCTTTCAAAAAAGATTTACCAAACGACCCTGAAGACGAGAACGGATCTGCTCCTCACAGAGGGTGCCTCACACCAACCTCACATGCACATCCTACCATGCATTGGGAACATCTCCAAGTTATTATCCACGGGAGATGTTCCCAATGCACGGTGGATGTGCCTATGAGGCGCTCATGTGTGAGGAGAAGATCCCGTTATCCTGAAGACTTAAAAACGGTCTTTCATAGACTTGACTCGCAGCTGCAGCAGTTGGCCTGATAAAGTAGATTTACACCAAGAATTAGTTAAAGACGTCCTATTCCAGTCTCCATTGGCTTCACCGTATAGAACAGGCGGTATTGGCTATTTTGCCTTTCATTCTTCACATAGTTCACAATACTCTTCCACAGACCTTAAGCGTAATTAAATCAGTGAATTCCTATAGTTAACAATAATCTCTCAGAGCAGTCAACGAGCACAATTCAGATTCATGGTGTCCAGAAAGCTCTCTTCAAGCTTTTAGAGACAAAAGGAAAACACTCAAAGTTCAAATATACATGGCCGAAAGTATAAACAGTAGGACAGCTGTTATTATCATATGTTCCTCTATAATTCTTGTTAATTATCAGAATTCTTCAATTGCTTTCAATTTCTAGCTATACAAAGAAGCAAGCCTCCTCTTGTTACTTTAATCACTCTTATCATCGTGGGATCACCCAACATGCTACAAGCATCAATTCCAATTCTGCTGAACACAGAAGCTTCTCCAATCATTTGCAAATTGAATTCTCTACAAATTCTTGATTTGTCCAATAACCAGCTGAGTGGTCCAATACCCGGAT